TAGCGATGCCACGATGCTTGAGGTAGACCTGATTTCTTTGAATGGGGAGAAAGAACCGAAACGAATTGATGTCATGATGTTGGGAGATTATTAGACCGGTGAACATTTGTTGACTTGCATTTCAGTAGCGCCTAAGCTACGACCACAAGACAGCGTCAGCATGTATTTGACATTTAATTCTAAATTTAGCAAAACAAAAACTGTTATTGCAGGACAGAAGCTTAGTAATCGTTATGACGTCCTCTATACGTTGATGAGATTCGTGCTGGCAGCTGAAATATGCAAGCCGTATGCATAATACCATGCCCAACACCATATAGCCAAAGTTTGAAACTATATATAGTGCGTCGGTCATATATATATATATATATATATGTATATATATATATATATATATATATATATATATATATATATATATATGAGTGCTTTTGAACTAAATCGAAATGAAAATGTGCCACGGTAGCTGTCAGGGAGGTGGAAAACAGATGTATCATGCATGAGAGAACAGTGAGCGTTTGATGACATGATTATATTCACTGTGTGCAACAATAGGCGGGTCACCACGAATTATTATACACTTTCCAGAAACATGGTCAGGCTCGATAGCTTGCGCAAAACATAGCTTGAGCAAAAAGACGCTTTTGTGAGACTGCTGAAAATACAGACATTTGGAGCTTACCTACATTTAAGGCATGGCCTACATATGAAGGTGTTTGCTTTTAGTTCCAGCATTTGGCATACTTCGGCACCGCTTGCTTAACAAATGCAAATAGAGGGGCAATATGTGATAGCACACCACGTGAACACACAATTTGACACCACGCACAGCATGACCACAACTTGTATTTTACAATCACTCAGCCACCGCGTGTCCAACTTCCGCTTTTCCCGGCGTCTTTTAAGTATCATTGGATTCAACTAGAGAAGTTACGATTGGGATAAAAGCATCTACATACCGCATTATTGTGCCCCTTATAGCCATATCCGTTCTTATAGTACCTCCGTCGCGAGCCATGCTGGAAATCATCATCATCATAGCCATCATCGTCATGGTCATCATCATCATAAGGCTTCCCGCGGCTACGGGTGAAGTCCCCGGCGACAAAGCCGTAGTTCCTGCGTCCGCAGTCGTCCTTGTCTCCATGCTGCCGCCCGTAGTCTTGCCCGCCGTAGTTGAACTTCTTGGCGTAGCTGTGCTCCTGCCCGTGGCCAAAGTGGTGCTGGACGTTCGGCCGGACGTAGCCGTGGTTACTGGCGTAGCCGTCCCGGCGGACGTGGCTCGGCGGCGGGTACTTGGCCACGCCGTAGTACTTGACTTCGGCGTTGTAGCCCGACTTGCCGTCCACCCAGTAGGTCACCACCTGCTTGCGGCCGTCCGGCAGCATGACCGAGTAGGAGCCCTCCGTCCGGTCCGCCAGACGGTTCTCGTGAACGTCCACGTCGACGCCCGAGTAGCTGTCCTTGATGCCGTACGCGTAGTTGTAGTCGGGGATGGCCTGGTAGTCAGTCTTGACGACGGGGCGGTGCGAGTTCTCATGTCCGCGTTTGAAGCCGAAGCCCTTAAAAACCGGCGCGTAGGGGATTCGCGGCTGAAAGGGGGGCAGCGGACGCGGAGAGCTGGGCGGCGCAGTACGGCCGCGCTTGAGGGGCGACGGGAGTACGGATGGCGTTCGGCACCGGCGGACTGTACCCGACCCCGGTATGGCCCGGTGACACATGCCCACGGTGGTAGTCATCACGGTCGTCATCATGGCCATATCTGCCATCATGGCCATAGTCGTCATCATGGCCATAGTCGTCATCATGGCCATAGTCGTCATTATGGCCGTAGCCATCGCCATAGCTAGCGCCATCGTCGTCACCGTCGTCAGTCCCCATAAGAGGATCCCCCGCCGGGGCGATAGTGAAGCGAGTTGTAGTCAGAGGCTTGGTACCCGCCGGTTGCAGTCTTGTGCCCGTCGTCGTGTTTCTTGTTGTCTTGCTTGAGCTCTTTTGGGTCGTCGTCGGCGCAGGCGACCGCCACGAGGACAAAACACAGGAGGAGCTGTGAAGAGGACACATAAGTAATCAGACGCTTGCCGACATTCGTGGCGACTAAAGCAGCTTAAAAATAAGTTGTCAAACAAAGTTGTTTTTTAAATGGAGTGATCAACACCCGTGCGACGTTTTTTATCGTAATTATATCGTTGCCGATCGGGTTGTAGATAGCGCTTTAGGAACTCAGGGTCAAGCTAGTTGCTGTTCCGACGATGCAATTTTTCCCTTGGCGGTTGATCGCTGTTGGGTATTGACAAAACACGATCGTGTAAGTAGATGATGTCAATAGATGTCCGAAACATATTTTGTCTCCCATCAAGAGTGCGGTTCCCCCGCATAGATGGCGACATATCAGATAACTAGCTGATTCAATTCCATTCACTTGGGGCCGGGAGCAGACGGGTCATTGCCGTTTCGCTATACGCCTTACTAGCCCTACCAACACGATCGGTATCAAATCCGCATGGGTGTACCCAGGACCAGACCATCCCGAGAGTTGGTTTTAAATCCTGCAGTTACAGCTCACAAAATGCGGGCGCGGCTGAGGTTGCGACGTAAATGACGTCAGCAGCAGTCGTGCGTCCATTTTAAAGCGCTTTGCATAGTCAATACTGTCTCAATAGTGTCTTACTCACCAATCGTGTCCCAGAAAGGACATTGGTCTGATGCAGGAAGGCAACACGCACGCCACTCAAGAACAAGAGGGGCATTCATCGCTGGGTTATCGCGCCACAGCATCCACCTCACGTTCCATGGTACATCTCCCCTTATACACGCGCAAGGGAACCACGGAAGAAAAAGCGGGCATAGAAGTAAACTTCAACGCACAACCCAACACTGATGCCAACAATAGCATATCGTCAAATCAAACAATACTAACACAGCCTGGCGTTCGTTTCAAACGATCATAGCCCACTGAACCACGCAGCCACCCAGCCGTAGCTTTCTTCCTGACCTCTTCATCCCCTAAGCCCCCGCCTGTCACCATACCTTCATGGCAGCTCTGACTCGAGTCCGTCGTAGTGAGCCGGGGGCACCTGCCTGACGAACTGCACAATGTCGCCTTGCCACCTGTTAAATATAGACGGCATCAAACAATCGACGCATTGTCGCACACTGCGTGACGGCATGCGGCGCTTCACGCTCCAGGGGCCGGTGCATGTCAAACACCCTGCACACGGGCGCACCTGATCAAACGCCGTGACGCCGCCGCTGGGAGGGCCGTGCGTCCCCGCCTGGTCAGCGGAAGGGCGTGTGAAGGTCTTGGCTCATGTCTGTTCTGGTCCTCCACCTTCGCCCACATGGTTTTGTACTTTACGTCAAGCTTCCAGTGTGATTCAGTGGCGGAGGTTCCTTTGAAAACCTGAGGCGGCGGCTCATGTTTTGTTTGTTCCCATTGACACCAGTAGGGTGGCGGCGGTAACAGAGGGGTATAGGCGAGGTTCATGTTACATTTTGTCCTGGTCACAGGGAAAACTACCCTTCCTCCTCGCAATACACCGTTCTGGTCTGATTCTCCTCCCCAGCACCCTCCGACGCAGGGCTGCCCCATGCCTCCTCTGACGCTTCCTGGGCGCGTAACGGCACAGTCGCAGCTCGAGCGGTGGCTGGCTTCCGCCGGCCTCCTCCTTCCTCCACCACCGGCCGAGTGTTTGGCACCAGTGTGGCGCGTGACCTGCTCGGCTGCCCACGCGATGACGTGCACACCTGCGTTTTTGTCGGCTTACCGCTTTTAAACGCGATGGTTTATCAATCATCCGATAGGAGCTGGGCCGGAGAACGTGCCGTCCTCGCTTACGTATTTATGGTGCCGTGTCCTGCCCGCCCCCGCACCTGACGCGGTGGCTCGTGGTGGGCCGTGGTGGTTGGCCCGGCCGGGGTCACGAGGGCATAGCCTGCGGCGCCACACGAACGGTGGCGCCGGCCCCTGGTCGAGCGACAGAAGGTTTGAACTGGGAACACGTGTTGAGGTGGGCTGATGTCTTGACTGGGAACACGTGTTGGGAAGGCCTGATTCGCTTGAGTTCTTTTCGTAAAGGCAGTGCAAGTCGGATTGCCAACGAACTATGTGGAATCGGGGTGGCGGGGTGAGGTGAAACACAACGGTATTGTGATGCACGCCACACGTAATGTTTGCACGCTTCAGCCCGTCAACAACTGTCGCGGAGCATTTGTCGACAAACGCATGAATATGTATTGCACACGAAAGTGATCGAACAGACCCTTTTTGCGCTTGATCTCAATTTAACTGTTGTGGGAGGCTGGCACCAGTCTTGTGTGCCTTATAACATACATATACCCGCTTCCACTGCTCTTAATTGTTCATCAACACTCGCACATAGACACCTTGAATGCAAAGATCCCGACATCACCTGGAGGTTGACCGCCTACCACTACTAGACGCCTCCTTAACGTCATTGCCAGTGGTGGCTTCAATGCCCCTATCGCTGTGCCTCTGGACTCGCAGACTGCCAGAAAGCAAACATAAAACGTCAATCAACGTCAGTCGTCAATCTATAATTTTCCCTGACGCTCTCGCCGCCACCGAGATGCGAGGACATCCCACACTCCACGCAAGACCCCCAGGTGGAGGCTGCGCCCCCGCCCTGGTCTCGCCGACACGCTGCTGAAACTACAAAGACACCGCGGCGGAACGCTGGTGCCCAAGCGCTGCTGACTTCCGGTGGAGTCACGACTGTCGGCTTCATGCATCTTGCAGCGACTCCGAAGGCTAGGTGCCCCACGCGTCCTGCGGGACCCGTGCCGGACCGCCACCGTTCGACAATGACCCGGTGCACCACGCGTCCAACGGCCGTGGTGAACCGGGTCTGGACCGTCACGGCTCGACAGCCCGTCTGTGTTCATCAGACGGAACGTGTCGCGTGCTTTGCTGAGGGGGGTGGGAGGGAGGCAGCGGCTATAAAATGGTTAGGCAACGTGCCTGCAATGCTGCAGTCGTCGTTGGACGCAACACCAGGAGTCATGAGGGTAAGTGACAAACTGTTTATGTGCGCGCGCATTTTGCGTCAGCCGTCAGCCGTCAGCCGGACGCCATTGCAATTTTCACTGTACGTCTTGAGCTTTCCGCCTTTCACTAGTCTTGGCATCAAACGTGGCCGGATTGAGCCTGATGATAGCCGTGCACTTCTTCCTTAATTGGTACGGCAGGAATCCCTGGAAATCCTTCGCTCCTAAATATTCCGCTGATTGCTCTGCTTACTCTGAAGTGCTAAGTGTTAGTTGCATTTATGCAACTTTGTAGGCATTTGCTGCTTGATCCAGTTTAATGTCCAGAAATTTGATACCTTGTGATATCGCGAACCTCGCTTAGGTCCGTCTAATCTTGCCTCACACAGCATGTACATATTCGAACAGATTTATGGAGGCGTCCGTAAATTTTGGCGCTTCTGTCCCTTCCGGTCAATTTTCCATCAACACTATGATCCCTCGACAGAAAATTAGGCCGATCTTCCGTGTCACTAAATTCATACACATAGTGTACTGAAGAGAATATGTAAACATAAATCTACAGAGACATGATTTACAGAAGTAAATAGGCCAATGTGAATGTATACACACGATGTACCAAAATAACTATGCAAATGGGCTTTCACCCACACGCGGTGCTGAAGCGCTAAACTACCGCCGCCCGATACCACAGACGTGTTCTTAAGTCTTTAATGCCCTTCCGCGAGCCATGATTGCCGTAATGGAAGTGCGCGGCACGTGCCAGGGGTGAACAGCGGAGTTCGGAGTTTGAACACCACGCAGGCCCACACACCATCAAATACCGTCACCTCTCCCCGACGGCCAGCGAAATCTTTCGTCGAATATGGTTTTATTGGATGATCGGGTTTCAACTTTCGTGACGGTTTGGAAAGTCCCGCATTAATGTTTGGCTGAGCACCTACAACAATGCCTCTTCATGCTCAAGGTCAAACGACAGACGACAGTGTCAGGGTATAAACACGCGTAGTTGGGACCCGGTCCAACAAGCGTGCACATCATTTGGATATATGTTGAAAGGAAGCAGGCGCTAAAGCTACAGGCCGCTATTTCATCGAAATCTTGTTTTTATATTCCCATTTTTTTGCGGAACGAGGCACAAATATGGCTCACAAGAAGTTCAGGATGGCTATGGGAATAGGCTGTGGGTGTGATGCTGCACACAGCCACATCTCGGTGAATTAGACCGTTTGCTGTCTACAGCTGCTTAATGAAACCATGTCCGCAACGAGCTCGCTGACGACGTCTGGCTACGTGCTTTCCTATGTGTGTAGCGGAAACGGGGCGCTATAATCACAGCATGGAGTTTAAGGGTCGGGGTAACTTTGATTCGAAATATAACTGCCATAACGCGATTAAATTCGGGATACAGCCGACCACATTGTAAGGGTACCCATGTGCACGTGTTTCAGGGAAATACATTTTCTGCTTTAGTACGGTGTGGAACGATAGGACCAGATTCCTTCCTACAACAGTTGAAACAGACAGTTAAACGCTAAGGTATCTCTGGATGCAGCGCTAGGTGTTGAGGGAGGCTGGAAAGTTACACAGTTCCTTAGGTCGCTGCCATGCACGCCAAATTATCCAGGGAGCGGCGGTATTACAAACAGTTTCTGCTTGCCAGCTCGTGGTGTGCTTGCAACGCATAAAAGGCTAGCAGGCATTCTTTGCACCATTTTCTTCCTTTTCCTCTAAGCAGAGGCGAAGGCGTTTGAGAGAACCCGGTTGAAGGCAACCAACAGCTCAGCTAAGCTGGCAGAAGTGTATTTTAACACATCTCCGGTCAACATCAGCCGGGCTTCATCACAGTGACGCTTTAGAGATTGAAACGTCCAAGATTGTCAAGCTGTTGCCAAGGAGGGCTGCAGTGGAGCCTTCACATGTGACTCACAATTGGTAAACGTGGATGTCCTGTGCCAAGTCGACCCCTTTGACCACCTTACCGCCAATGTTTCGGTGCTCCCGGCGCGTAAAAAGTGTTAATTTCTGTATTTTGAATCCAGTGGTGCTGACATTTGAGATCAGCACCTTTCCCAAGCTTACGCATGCGTCAGCATCCTGTGTGTTGCGCTGCTGTGGCTCCTGCTCAGGAAACCGGTGAACTGGAGGTTTGAAACGGTCAGGGGACCGAGGGTCGGACCGGAGAGATGGTGTCGGTCTAGGCCTGTCACGCACTGATGACGATATTTTACAACTTGTCGGCAAAAGTACTGAGACATCTTAGGCTCAAAGCTAATTAAAGAAACGCTACTTTTCACTCACAGGTCACAACAGCTAACATAGCCCTAAATTTAATGGGCCCAAAAATTGGCAGTCCAGCCCAATTGGAAGGGCCTAAGACTAAAGAAGATAGCCAGACAGCCAAGAGCGCGAGAATGACCTCAGTCAGGAAATATGGTTCCGGTGTCGGTTTTGGATTATTCATTAAGGACAAACGAGACAGGGTACCTTAGACAGCATGCCAATTCCCAGTTTATTGTTAAAGGCAAGTAGATACGCTAGCTCTATGGAACGGACACCTGTATAACTAAAACGCATTCGTCCATAGGCGCAGGAATTATCGCGCTATTGGGGGGGGGGGGGGGGGCTACCCTGCATCACATTGGATAAAATTAAGGCTAGTGTTTCACTTTTGTATGAGGCTTTCAACCGAAACAGTCATCTGGAGGCTGCTTTGGTGCAGTTCACAGTCAGGGCCTTCTTTAGGCCTGAGCCCTTCTAGTTTCTTAGCTTTACGCCCTCGAAGATGTGCAGACTTTATCGGGAAGACTATTTCAACGTCTCCCAGGCATCCATGACGCTACAATAACGCCATTCAAATCCCGCCATTTCACTGACCATGCGGCGATCAAGGTGAATACAAATACGATTGTCAAGTCGCTCACCTCTGGCGTTCGTCAGCACGATATCTGATATAGCGACGGTCAGTTGGCTCTTAATCAATGTTGTGCATGGTATGAGACGTAATCCATGAAAGATGTAATGTGAAGCATATTTACTCAACACAGAAGTTGTGTTGTCCGGGGCAGCCTTTATCACCGAAAAGTGTACCAATCCCCACAAGCAAGCTTATTTTATCATATTTGACGCATGCTTCAATATCCTGCAAGGTGAAACTTTCCCTTTAAGTGCTTGAGCCAAAAAACGCCCAATTTTAGGGCGTTTTATGAAATGAAAGGACTTAAACTGTCTCTGAGTCTCCACAAAAAGTCTAGACAAACTCCCTCGCTCCTGTATTTATCGGTGTTCGCCACTGTTTACTAAGCAGCGGCGATCACGGTTGTGGAAATAGTTCCAGGCGATTGAATAGTCGACCTTTTGATATCAATAATAGTAAGAAAATATTGTAAGGACGCTGGCCTATGGTGGGGCAAAGTCATACCAAGGTTGTCAGGATAAGCAATAAGTCCGCAGAAAATCGTTGTTTATGATTCGACAGCATAATGTCAGGTGAAGCTACTCAACTTCGAAATGGTTGCTTTCATAATTGGACTATTGACATTACACGAGTACGGGAAATTCCGTTGACGTCTGGTCAGGTATGGAGTTCGAATCAATGTCAAAACCAAGCTACTTTATGGCTGAAAACACTCTTAATGCGCACAGCTTTTGATGCTCGTGTTAAGTTCATCTATCACAATGACGTTAAAAGGTTGATTATATGACATCATGGTAGTCAGGAGAGTCTGCTAAATCGAAATGACCTCGTTCAATCTTCTACTTCGAGAAGCATGCCGCCTGGGTATTACTTCGCGCCGATTGCAAATTGAATAAATACCAAAATAATCCCGAGAGATTTAGTCATTTCAACATTCCTTAAGTCAAAGGTCATTGACCTGATATGCACACCAGTAACGAGTTTTGCGTGCAAGTGTAGCTAAATTAAGGATAGCTGCATAAAGAGGTCTGAAGGTATTTTGGACATCAACCTGAAGGTTGACCTTGTATAACCTATTTAACATATTATTAAGTGCTTGTATTCGTAAACATAGTCGTTAGCATTAATGTATATATATATATATATATATATATATATATATATATATATATATAATATTAGTATTTGACCTATTAGACTGAAAGGTCATCATCAAGGAACCTTTTAACCTCAAACCTCAAAATTTGAATCAACTTGGTTCATACAAGTTAGTTCATATAGAGCATAGAGCCCTAGCTATTCTGGGAATTTAGTGTACATAGCTCTCCAGCAGTTGACTGGTCACCCGAGCGCGTGTTAAGAGACTCGCATTCCTCCCAGTATCTTGCTCTGCTCTCTAAGTTTGATCCACTGTCATGTTCGTTATCCGCTCAGTAGTCACAAAGCGCTGCAACGCCTTGGCATCCCCCAACCAGATTTCTCATTTCCTTCCGCCGTCGCAGGGTTGTAATTTTCATCGGCACACTGCTCTGTACCTCGCTGTTCGTCTCGGGACCCGCGTCGTGTTGTGGCCTGTATCTGTCTGCCGGTTTCTCACGAATGCGATGTGTCCGCCAGCTGACCACCGTGTCAGCCCTCCTGGTCGTGGCCGCCTGTCTAGTCCACGGTGACGACGATCTGGACGATCTCGACGAGGAGGACCATCGCCGCTCTGCCAAGACAACCGCCCGCGCCAAACCCGACTACAACTACGGCTACAGCGTCAAGGACAAGGCCTCTGGTGTGAAGCTGAACGCGAAGGAGAAGCGTTTCGGGGGTCGCACGGAGGGCTCGTACACGACGAAACTGCCCGATGGCCGCAACCAGGTGGTCGATTACTGGGTAGACGGCAAGTCGGGGTACAATGCAGAGGTTTCTTACGACAGCCTGCCCAAGCATCCTGAGTCGGTGACCGAGAAGATCGCGACAGCTCCCCCTCCTTCTATTCCTCTTCCTCCACATCTTCCTCTTCCTTCTCCTACTCCTTCTCCTTCCCTTCGTCCCCATGGCGGAGGGTCTGCCTCATTTCGGCCGGCACTTCAAGCGAGACCTCTGCTTTTCCGGAGGCCCCATCTCCACCCGAGGCCCCACCTCCACCCAAGGCTCCATCTGCGCCCGAGGTCCCACCTCCGCCCGAGGCCCCATCTCTACTCGAAGACCCATCTCCGCCCGAGGCCCCTGATACATCCAGAGGCGCTGATGCGTCGGCGGCCGTTCATCCATCCGAGACCGCTGATCCACATGAGGCCGGTGATTCACCCAAGACCTGGCAGGCATGTGCCGCGGTTCCTCCCGCGAACACGGGAAGGCGTTTGAGGACGCACTTTTGTCGTTATTCGCACGGCAGCTTGTTTAGGAATTTCGCCAGCTTGAGCGCCCTATATGTAATATGGTCCGTGACGTCCGGTACAGTTTCATGTCCATGTGTGAGCCAAGCAATAAACGTTCAGCAGCCATGCACAACGGCATCTTTATTGAAGGAAGCAGTCGCAGGCCAGCAGTGGGACACTGAGTTGAAGCTTAACATGCTCCGCTTGGCATGTTGCATGGAAGCACAGGCCAGGAGTGTCTCTCCTAGGATATTTTCATTGATGAGCACCATCGGGTTGGCATTGCTTAAACACGGTTGCTCTTATAGGGGAGAGGAAGCGAGGTAAAAGGCATCGTGTTACGGTGCAGAAAATTAAGAGGACTCCTCCATGTTCGCTTCGAAATTTGAACTGAGGCGTCATTTTTAAGTTCATGACTTGTAGTTCAGTCACACCCTTTACAAGATTTCAATTACTCTCGTTTCTGAATTAGATGCACGCAAACTTTTGCAGACTTCCTCGCGTCGCCTATGTTTAAAGGGAATGTTCCACATCTACATGGGGTTTTAAAGTAAAAAAGCCATCTTGAGGATCTTTTGACGCAGTTCACGGTCATGTCCTTTTTAAGACCAAAAACCCCCGGGTTCCTCGGTTACGCGCCCGCAAAAATGGGATAATATTTATTGGGAGACTATTTCAAAGTCACCTTGGCGTTGATGATGTCACAGAAACGTCATACAATCGCCGTGATATTACAGGATGTTTCCTGCTTGTGGTCAAAAACAGCATAGCCGCTGAAACATTCGCAAAACTGTATTTGCAGTACAAAACAGCAAAACAAAACAGAGTAATTCCACCGATTTTAAAAAAGCCACCGATTTATTAAAACCATTACTAAACTCGAGCGTTGGCAACGGCATCAGGTCCTGTGGTGAGTCCCTGAAATATCGACGACTTTGAGTTTTGATATGGGATATGTGGGAATAAATGAGCCAGCACGACAAAACTGCATTTAGAGTGATCAAGGCCAGAAATGCAGCATAGAAAACTTCAGATCATGAACCTCCAGATTAGCAACTTCACAATGTCCTCATCATGCGCAACAGCGATGTGAACTAGGCTAGCCAAGATCTCAGTACCGTATTCAAAAGGTTCAGACCTTATTCTTGAAAAGCAACGTAGGCAGGCTACGAGTGCCCCCCATCGAAGAGCGAGGATTTATGCTTTCAGGGTCCGAGCCAACATACGGTAGGGCAAAATACTTTCCGAGTCGCGCCAAAGTGCCAGGGCGACCAGAAAATGCCTGGAGTCGAGGGTCCTCCAAATGCCTGGAGTCGAGGGTCCTCCAAATGCCTGGAGTCGAGGGCCCTCCAAATGCCTGGAGTCGAGGGTCCTCCAAATGCCTGGAGTCGAGGGTCCTCCAAATGCAAGGATGATAACCTTCCAAGAGGAATCATAGCTTCGGAAATATCTCTTCAGGTATTCGAGCTCAGCAAGCATGGGTCTATGAGAAGAGCTTCTATGTGTGTTAATATGATAGACGCTCAACAATATGCTCTAAAGAAGGCTGCTCATGTGGCACAAACAAGAACGTAGGTAGCCATATTTCTCCCTCCTTGCCCTTCTTTGGTGCCGAGGGGTTCCATGGATATTTCAGAACCACCGCTAAAGGCTGGATTGGAGGGCCGGAAGGGCGAGGCCAGAAGAAGCGTTCCAAGATAAACGACAAGTGGCCTACAACCTTCTAAGTGGCTTACGCCCTCAGTCCTCGAATTTTCATAAAATTGCGTCACAGGGCTTGTCATCAGCGCTGAAGTAAACGGTACCATTTTTAATCCCTCAGTTGCTAAGTTTCGCGTTCGAGCCTTTGGAAATTTCGAGCTGCGTGGTTGCAGGGAAATCACCTCCATTAAAATGATCAGAAAGGTACCTTAAACATTCATGTGCGATTTTTGAAATCGTCGGTGCCAAAAAATGACAATCAGCGCACTATAAGCTTTTACCAAGAACGAATAACAATTTTGTTACGTGACATTGCTCTTTTTCTCAATTGCACGTAAAAGAGCGTAGTTCGGTCCCCAATGTTAAAAATAAAAGGGTGGATTTCTGTTTGGAAAGGCATGGTTCATGTGCCGACGAATCACGCGTAGCACACGAAGACTGGGCGCGCGTCTCACCGCCGCAGTGGGCTGCCCCCCCCCCCCCCCAAGTGTACTGTCGGGGGGGGGGGGGGCAGGGTAATGTGGGTGCGTACTGTGAGTGCGATGGCGTCTCTTGTTCATGTGGGGCGACTCAGAGGTCAGACAAAGACCAAGTGATAGGACCTTGGGCCAATGCTGGTTGTGCGACTGGAGCGTATGGTTGTTTTGGCAGTGAGTTGCGAAATGAAACGCTCAAGCAACCCCAGTTGTGCCGATTCATTTCGAAAACACGCAACGAGAGCACGGCGAGGCATGCCCCCCTTTTGCACTTCCACTCATTGTTAGATCAGACACGTCCGATTTAATCGGTAATGCACAGCTTCTCGCAATCCTTCTGAATAGCTTAGACCTACTGCAGAACAAATTTCATTGGACTCCCTGCTCACCACCATGAAAGTAACAACTTCCATTTGCTTTGCGTTTCCCCACGAGTAGATTCTGAAATGTTTACAGCACACTCATTTGTCAAAATGCTTGCGTAATGAGTGTTAAGTGAGCGTGAAACACTGTTTACAGAAAATAATTGCAAACATGAGACTATTATCCCGCAAACACTACGACATGATGGGTGGCAGCGGCATGCACGCGGTTTGCGTGTGTTGTTATCACCAGAGGCCAATGTTATAAAAAAAGAACGCCACTGCCTGCATAAAAGTAAGGCACCGAAGAAAGAACGGCACTCTGCCGAATGCTATTAAAAGAAAACCCGACGGCAAATCTGTCCTTTTTCTCATGCTGGCGTGTTTTCTTCTTCTCGTGACGTATTATTTACAGACAGCCCGGTTGGTGAGTTGTGCACCCAAGCAAAGAGCCTTACACGGGCTCGTACGTTAGCAAGAAATTATGAAATTAGGGAAATACTACAGTAATTATATATATATATATACATATATATATATACATATATATATATATATATATATATATATATATATATATATATATATATACATTACTAATTATCCATCACATGTCGTACGACAAATTTAAATCCTAACAAAACTAACAAAAAATTGTGTCTTACAAGTAAAGCCTCTTGAGTTGCATTACCATCAACCCCCGTTGAGACTGTTTTCGATGCAGCTCACGGTGAAATGCGTTGTTATAACCGAAAACCTGTGCGGAAATTGTGAGAAAACCTGCCATTTGATAGTCCCACGGGCTGTGCAGTTGTGGGGTCACACTTACCTGACATTTGTGCGTGAGTCCGCCACTTAAAATGGATGCGATCACTGGTGGTGCGTGCCGGTGGGTTGCATTGATATGGATGTGATCGATGATGGGAAAGGTGTACGTGTGAAATTTGTACTACTGAGAGAGAGAGCATCGTTTCGATATTTTTAAGTGTAATGACTCCCATTAAAATGTAATATACCGATATCTGCTTTTATCGTTATGTTTGCATTTGAACATGACAAGGTAACGATTTAGAAAACCCATAAGAAACACTAGCATATCCCATGCTGCAAGGGTGTATAACGGCACTTTGCCACTTATGGTTTCTTCGATGTGTTGCATGCCATCATATTAGCAACTCATTTTGGCAGTAGGGGCAGGTTTGTGAGGCTCGTTGATGCACATGCTTGGTAAAAGCTTCCCTGACATGACTTTGGAAAATTGCCTTTGCCAAGCATTCTGAAAATATAGTGCTGCATTTTTATGGATGCACATACCACTTTCTTAGCAAATGTTGTGTGCAAGAGAGCATTACTTGTGAGTCATCACTGTCATGCCTTCAGAGAATTTGCTTTGAGAAATTATCAAGTAGATTGTGTGTGGCCTTGAAAGATTGTAAATAGCTTGGGCAACAATTGTATGTCCATATATTTCGTAACTTTCCACAAGATCCAGTGGCTTTTTAGAAGTTACACGTCATCATTGATAAAAACGGGCATTAAAGAGACAATGTGAAACCTAATAAAAATAGCCTAACACATCACACATCGGTCAAGGGATCATCTCGGCGAATCACACTACTGCATTCACATCTTAGCATCACACACAATCGAATTCACACACGCACCCACTCATGTGCCAATATTCGCCTCACTCAGTAGCAACTCCATAAGTTGGCGCTTGAAGCGGCCTAGACTCTGAACATTGCGCAAGTCGGGCGGCAGGCAGTTAAACAAATCCGATGCTTGTAGCTAAATCGGCGAGTGCCAGAGTTGCTCACCGTTCGGGGGCGCCTCAGCTGGTTAGCCTGTCGCGTTTCATGAGTGTGCTCAGCACGTGTGAACATCGCGGTTATATCTGGTGGCTGACCCGTGAGTAAGACTTTTTTGAGCAGGCACAACATATGATATCTGACGAGCTGATCAGCACTAAGCCATCGTAGATCCCTGACAGCATCCGATATATGGTCACACCTTCTCCTTCCGCTCGCAACCCGCGCACAGAAGTTCACAAGTTTTTGCACGCGATGGAGCAGGGTGGCTCCGTGACAACCATACAGTACTATACAGTATCCTAATGGAGGAAAGCACTAGAGCTCCGACAATGCGAACGAGGGTGTCTCTTGGAAGTACATGCTTGGCATGGTACAGGGCCATCAGAGCGCCCGTCGACCTGGCAACAAGCTGATCAATGTGCGGTTCAAATGTGAGATTTCTGTCCATCACCACACCAAGGTTTTTGACAGTATTGCTTTCAGTAATGACAGCTGACCCGAACTTGACATGCACAGGAGGCATATTACGTAGCATAGGCTTTGTCCCGAAAACTATTAACTGCGTTTTTGTTGTATTGACTTTCATAGAGTGGTTGTTAAACCAGTCCAATACAATTGACAAGGTACTCTCCATGGTTCCGACAAGATGTTGCATTGCACTTTTCTTTCCAGTAGCCAAAATCTGTGTGTCATCGGCATATTGTATCACTGTGGCACCTTCTGAATGTAACGCTAGATCGTTAGAGAAAATGGAATATAGGAGCGGCC